TGCACCCCTTAGGCGTAAGAAAGTACTTGCACGGCTTACCCTTCCCCCCACCCTTAGTTTCACCCCCCTTGCCCCCCGACTTACCCCCCGTAGCGTCCATGGCCTTCAAAGCGACATTGTTGCCTGACCCACCCTGTGTGGCAATCTGTGCTCCAGCCATGGTTTCAAACTCGGCTAACAAGTGCTTGTAATACTCCTGAACCGCATCTTCCGAAGGGTGAGTCTCGATGTGCAGCATGCTGCGAACCATCTGAGTTCGGAAAATGGGGTCCGGGTTTTGGCTTAGGATATGGTTGGTCATTTCGGTGAGGGCACCGGCAAGAACTGTAGGATCTGGGGCTACCATACCGCAGTCAATGCAGCGCTTGTGCCACCTACCCCATGCCCTCAGCGCGGACACACCTGACACCACATCCTGAACAACATTGGGATTTTGCAGGTGATTCAACACCAATGCCTTTTCCGTGGAACCTCCAGGCTGATACAACGTGTAAAGCCGAAACATGATTTGAGTGGCTACTTGAGTGGTCCTGCGAGCTACCATTTCCGCTTTTACCCCTTGATCTAGGGCTGCTAAAATCATGGCGCACGCACGTGCATTGACCCTGGACCACTTTCCCTCCACCAGCTCCGGGCGCTCGTCAACCTCTACCCTGATGCGATGGAGCGGAGTAGCCTTAACCCACCTTTCATATGCGTCACGGCTCACCTGCAGCACTGCGGTCCACCAATCATGCGAGGAATCGGACAAATCACCCATCAACCCTGCAACTAACTCCAACCAATCCTGAAAATCCAACGAACCACTCATCGGATCAGGAGCTTTCAGCATGGGAAGTGCAGTAGTGCCTGGCTTGACGGCTTCAGGGGCGTTGCTAACAACACTCTTATCCCGCATGCCCTGCGCCTGCATGGTTTGAAGCTGCTGCATTCCTGCAAACAAGGCATCCATCATGGGATTGCCCGAGGAGGGCGCTGCACTTGCTGCAGATGCTCCTCCTGGAGCTGCACTGGCTTGGGCACCTGATACCTGTGCATGCGGCACCTGTGTACATGCGCCTGAAACCTGTGGCACCTGTGCACATGCAGCGGGTCCAACCCCTCCGGGTGGAGATGCGGGCACCTGTGTACCTTGCACCTGTGGCACCTGTAGCATTCCTGAGCCTTGAGGCCAGATCTGGCCCAGACCCAGGTTTTCGGCCTGAGAAGGGGGGTTTGGAGCAGAACAAGCCAAATTCACCTGTGCTGCGTCGTAGGACTGCCCGACCCCTCCGGGCGGGGTTGCACTGCTGGGCAACCTATGGGAACCCTGCAACCCTGACCAGAAGTTGGACCAAAACCCTGACGCGGCTGCTGCTGCAGCTTGAGCGGGCGCTCTCAGAGCACCAACCGCCGGCGCTGCAACATCCTGCACCTGACGCGCAGAGGAAGTGTGGACCTGAGCATCTTGCGATGATGGCACCTGGAGGGGTATGGGGACCTGCAGTGGGGCCTGCGGGGCACTGCTTGAAGCTGCCGCCTCCCTCGCCAACTGCTCCCTCATAGCCTTCTCCTCCTCAAGTTGCCTCCTCAAACGCTGGATCTCAAGGTCCTGGGCCTGATTTCTCAACTCCTGAGCCTGAGCCCTTTGATCAAACCCCGCCAACTGCCTAGCAACCTCCGCTTGAATTGCGTCCTGGGGCAAGGAGGTTGAGTCTGAACGGGATTGGGGCCTATCAGGCATGTTACCGTACAATAGGGGAGCCCTACGTTCCAAAACTTGCATGTGCTGCAGCATGTCGGCGTTCAGGAGCGGGCCCTCCCTTCCGGGGTGCGGTGGTGCAAAGGATGTTGGCGTTCCTTGTGGCCCCACTTGCGGCGGCGACCCACTAGCAGAACCCAAACTCCCATCTCCCAAAGCCAACTGCTTTGGTGCACCCCCCGGACTACCCATGGAACGGGTAGCACTTCGTGGTGGCGTTGCGTGTGAGTCCTGCCACACCGGGACCTGCATGACCTCAGTGCGGGCAACTCTGAAAAAATCCCCAACCCTTGACATGAGCTGGAGCCCAGCCCCAGGGAAACCCTCAACCATTTCTGCAATAGTGGGCAAACCGTCCTTGCTGGGAGCGCGGGGTAAGGAACCCCTCAACATGGGAGTCCCCAGCGACTGCTCCCCCTGGCACTGCTTCACCGCTCGCGGTACCTGGCATGCCAGTGCTGGCCTGCAGACCTGGGCTCCCGCCCGGTGTTGTGCCGGGCACATGCACAATTTGGTGTGCGCTCTCACCACCCTCACTGGTGGTCGACATTGGTGGCATTTCCCCTGAACCTCGCGATGATTCATGCTGGCCTATGCCTCCCAATGCCCCTCCCGTAGCCGTATTAGGTTCAAGGCCTGGCCTGATTCACGTGGTGGCATTGAACCTGGATGCTGCAAACCATCCCCTCCGGGAGGTGGAGATGGATGCGGTGGATTGGTGCCATAGCCCTGCTTAAGCGTTGGGCTCATAACCTGCTGGTGTGAGCCACCAGCAGGCTGAGCAGAAGGCACAAGTGGAGTAGCTAGTTCCCCTATGCCTAAACCCAACCCTGCCATGGCGCACACTGAGGCGGAGATTTTACACGCAGAAACAAGGAACCTGTAAAGTTTGTGCTACTTGGTTAGGCTTGGCACCTACAACACTATGTGAAATGCTGTACATACTTGAAATGATGTCATGCTCAAGGCTTGGGCCTACAAGAGCATTGGGAAAAACACATGGTACAACTGCTACAGGATGACATGTACAGGAGTAGGCTTCAACACCTAACCTAAACCCAAAAACGATTCTCTTTCTTGCGGCTCTGGGGGCGTATATGGGGGGTTTCCGAAATACCTTATTGGGGTCCTTTGTATAAGGGAATCCTACTATTTGGGGGCCTAAATTAGGGGTCCCTTAGTTCGTAAACCCCCATATGCACCTTGACTACCCTCAGCAAGGTCGACCCTGAAGTAGGCCGACTTTGGGCTTCAGTGTTGGGAGTCAGGGGGGCACAGAACCCGAAGCCCTTGTGACGACCGGGGCCTCTTTGTCTGACTGTACCGTGTGTCCAGCGTACAGCAGGGCCATGCCTGTGAGTCAGGGGAGTTGAAACAACCCCAAACGCGCAGAACTGAATCCTGATGTTTGAGGGTTGATAATTAGGGGTTTCGGGTTCGGTTGGGATTTAGGATTTTTAACACTACACCCTAAACCCACAAACCTCTAGACCCTCGACGTCACAGCCGACAGCTTTAACTTGGATTTCTGTGATCTGAAGCACAATGTGCTACCCCCCCAAACCCCAAACCCCAAACCCCAAACCCCAAACCCCAAACCCCAAACCCCAAACCCCAAACCCCAAACCCCAAACCCCAAACCCTAAACCCTAAACCCTAAACCGAAAGGACTTCCGTGCTTCTCAGATGATGAGGCTGGGTGACCTTCCGCGCGAACCGCATCCAAGACCAGCTCCTGGAAATTTTTGGGTTTAGGGTTTAGGGTTTAGGGTTTAGGGTTTAGGGTTTAGGGGCTCAGACCTACGCAGATGCTACGCAAGAACTCGAAACTCTATAATCCCTGCATTGGGCGCGGAATTCAATGAGGATGTGCTTCGCAAAATCCTGATACCCAGACCTAAACCGTCCTCGATTACTAGGCAGCGTACCACTCGCCACATTGAGCTGTGCGTAATTGCTTTGGGGCCAGATGATATACATTAACCCTAAAAAGGTTTCATGGTTCATATTATCTTAATGGAGCTATCAAAGGAGTATATGATATATGACCCCAACTTTAGGGTTCATCCCGTCCCCAGATCATTTCCAAAGACGCCGTCGAACATCGCGGCAGGTGCTGACCCAGCTCCGGCGCACGAACCATGGTCCATGTCTCGCTCCCGCCGCATTTTTGAGGTTTGCACAACTGCCTTGCGCGAGGACGTGGTAGCACTTTCCTGCACCTTGGGTTCTTGGACAAGTCGACGGGGGATCTTCATTTCGGGGTGTTGCAACGAGTGGCACCCTCGCCGCGGTCCTCCTTGCAAAGTTCTCTGAGCAGCCCTCGTTTTGGGGGCCATTGGAGTGGTCTTGGCACCGGCTGAGGCACCAAGCGGGGAAGAAAGGTAGGGGGCGGCACAGCCCATTGCGTTTGAAAAACAGAGAGCGGCGGGGTTTGGGTAGGAGCACTGCCCCCGACCTCCCCACCCCCCATTTGCAGACATGATGATCGGCAGAGACCTTTGAGCCAAGAAGCAGAGCCAGCAGCCACGGGCCTTGTGCACAGCGGGTGCGCTGAACTTCTTTGATCCCTTCCGTCCTTGCTTCCTTCCTGACTTAGGCCCTTACTTTCAAGCTTCCTTGCTTACTTCCTTCGTTTCCTCGCTTCCTTTCTCTTCCTTCCTTTCCTTTCCTGCCTCCCCCCCTCCCTCCTCCTTCCTGCTTCCCATAACCCTTACGAAAACAAACAAAGCTCGCATCCCAACCATTGCAAGTAGCCAGCAACTGTTCATTGCCTGCAGCCTGTAACAGACTGTCTGGGGTGCCATTCGAGGTTCTTAGTCGGGGATGAGAGAATCAGCCATATAAACTCTTTCTAAACATTGTCCTTGCTTTCCGACGCCCGCGGCCCAGCGAATCGCAGGGCGAAGGCATTTCGTGCGACGGCCTCTCATTGGAGTGCCACAGGGCTTGAGGGTTTAGCGTGCTCAAGGGTAGATGCTTGAGGGTGTTGGGCTTAAGGCTGCACACCCTAAACCTAACCCCTACGGTTTGCTTCTCTGGACAGGGCTTAGCAGGAAAGAAAGGATGCTATCGCAGAGGTTTAACAGCACGCCCAGATTTGCAGAGGCCAGGGCCCCCGTGACTTTCTTCGGGAACCTCCGGCGTCCTACAAGGCCCCAAAAAAGAAGAGGATGATGCCAGCCCGAGAGGTAAGTCCTTCTTATCTGAGTGTCGGATCTGAAAGCCTTAAACCTGCAAATCCCCGAGGTCCTGATCCTCAAGCATCACGACCCAGCATCAAGCAAGGCAGGTGTGAGGTGTTCAGTGCCTCACGCATCAGCTCCACATCCTCACCTTGGGAAGCTTCCTAGCCACAGGGTTTAGGGTTTAGGGTTTAGGGCTTTAGGGTTTGGGAGCTTAGGGCCGGAGACTTGAATATTTGAATATCCGGGGCGCCCAAACTTGTTTCTTTGACAGACGGGAAAAAGGGTACTCGGCGACTCTATCGTAGTCTACTGCTGCTTCTTGGCAGGTTTCGGGTTTAGGGCTAGGGTTTAGGGGGCGAAACCCCATTCATAGACCCCCGTACGATAAGGGAAATGCCCGACAGATCCCTAGCGAAGACTCTCCTTCCACCTTGTAGGATCCTCTGCATTTTCGAAGGGGGAACTACCCGCATGATTAGAGACTCTGTACGGCGACCGATAAACCTCTATGCCGGCATTTTTCTGGCATGTACCTGCTGATCGCAGCAATCTAACTTCCGCATGTTACGTGCGACTCATGAACATAATGCTTCTACACGGCTGTTTGGAACGGACTTACAAGGTCAGGGGCTTTGAGCGTCAGGGTTTGTGGGATTCATGGCTTCGCGCTTTCAGGAGGGTTTTTGGGCTTGTGGGGCTTGTAGGGTTTGCGGCTTGTGGGGTTTAGGTTGGCTTGTGGGTCGAGGGCTGTTAGGTTTGAATGAGGTTCACAGGGTTTAGGGCTTCTAGAGCTTAGGACTTTGAGTTTTGCAGGGTCTGGGGCATGAGAGTTTCCGACTTATAAACTGCTTTGACTGTGGTCACTGAAAACATGCAATTTGAGTTTTCATCGCAGAAATTGCTGAAATTGCTCGCGCTCTCACGCGTGGGTCCCGGAATTGCTAGGTTTAGGACGCACAGGGCTGTCCTGTCATGTGAGACTTTTTATCCATTTCCCAGACATGCTTCAAAAAAGCTTGGCATCCTAAACAGGATCTTGTTCAAAATGAATAGGGGTCTCCATAGGGTCCTATCCTAGTATGGGAGGAACCCTGTTGTGGTGTAGTCTGGGCGCGAGGCCTAGACTCAAGCACAATAATGAACTGAGGTTAGAATGAGCCTGCCTGGGTACAGACCAAAAAACAGTCGCATAGTTCAGGCCCTCAGGCTATTTCCCGGTTCTGTGTGTGCAGGGCTTTTGAGAACGAGAAGGGCGCATAGGGTCAGGGATTGCAGGACTTACAAAATTCAGAGGCTTTAGCTGTTGAGGCTTTAAAGAACTTGTCGGGCTCTAAGGCATAAGAGGGTCAGGGAATATAGGGTGTGAAATGTTTGTGCCCTCAACCCTAAACCCTAAACCCTTTGAGCCCAGGGAGGCCCCATGAAGCCGAAAATCCCTACAGAACCCTAAGCCCCACACCTCAAAGCCTCGTGTCGGCGTGTGAGCCCTTCTTGCTCAGACCTCTCAAGTACCGAGCTGCGAAGCGCTTCGGAGGCAAACTGCAGGGAGCTGGTGTCAAGGTCAATCGCCTTCAGCGTTAAACTCTCAGAGTTTGGGATTCTCGGGTCCCATTAATGCTCTCAGAGTTTGGGATTCTCGGGTCCCATTAATGCCCGACACCATAGATCTCAAACTGTAGGGGCTTCCTCAGTTAAGGACACTGTCGAGGGCAAGAAATTTGGAGAGTGGGGGCAGGGGGCTTCTCGGCTTCTCGGCTTCTCGGCGTCCGGGGTTAGGGTGTGGTTACTCAAGGCTTCGTGTGCAGGGCTTGTGGCGGGGGCGTGCTGTGCGAGGGGATATACGGTTTAGGGAGTAGGGTATGGGGTTCCCGAAGGTTTACGGCTGCCTGCTGGGAGTATCGGTTTTGGGTGTGTTAAGGTGCAGAAGTGTCAAGTCTGGGCCATGGGAGGGAAGGGGTCCAAGGGGGATAGGACATCTAGTAATCTACCTCCCGCCTTGAGACCCCACCCTTCAAAAGTGCACAAAGATCCAATGATTTGATCTTGGGAAAACAGGACCCGAAGGCACGAAGCCTCAACCCTGCCTCCCTCCATCAATCCTACACCCTACACCCGAACTCCCTGCATCCGACTAGGAGTTTCCAAGGGTGGTTGCAAGTAGAGCTGGAACCCGTAAGTCTCCTTGAACTAGCCTTCTCCAGCCATTTCTGGAGGAACCTTCAACCCTGATGACTACCCCTAAAACCCTAACCACCTAAAGCCTACAAACCCTATAAACCCCATAAACCCTATAAACCCTATAAACCCCATAAACCCTATAAACCCTATAAACCCTAAACCCTACTCATAACACCCGTGACGTCTTTTCAGGGGCCTTCACAGCTTTCAAGTAAACCCTAAACCCTAAACCCTAAACCCTAAACCCTAAACCCTAAACCCTAAACCCTAAACCCTAAACCCTAAACCCTAAACCCTAAACCCTAAACCCTAAACATTCCGAGCGCGCCTCCGTCACCAAGGCCCGGTCGTTACGAAGCCGCGGAGAGGCGAACCTTCGGATGTTTGTTGGCGCTGGCTCTTAGAAAGGGGATGAGTGAACTAGGGCCCTATAAAATCCCTTACCGGTGCATATATATATATATATATAGTATATACATAATATAATATAATCAATAATATATATATATATATATATATAATATGTATATATACAACAATATATAACTCCCTAAGAACCAAGGGATGTTGGGCTGCTTAGGGTCTTGAGGCTTTCAAGTCTTCAGGGATTCGAGGGTCTGAAGGGTTTGGGGTCTTAACGGTTGAGGGTTTGGGGTCTTATGGGCTTAAGGTCTTCGGAAGGCCTCCATTGCGGAAAATCCTACAATTCCGGACACAACAAGGCAGCACCGGTTTCTGTGGCCCCAAAAACCCCCCCTAGGGGTGAACACCTGGGGGGGGGGAGGGGGGGGGGTGTCTGGAGCTTCGGGCGTGGGGGGCGCAGAAACTGGCGGTTGACAAAAAAGTGACCAGAAGAAACCTTCTGTTCGAGCGTGTTTGGGGGGAGGGAGGGGGGGGGGGGGGTAGTAAGGGGGAGAGGACTTCAACCCACCCGCATGCTTGACCCTAAGGGTCCCTTCTGAGACCCGAGATTTACGTGGTTCAGGCCCTGAACCCTAAGCCCTGCATCCGCCCTCAGAATCAGGCATTCCCTACTGTGAGGTTACCCCCCAAAAATAAACCCCCAACCAGTCGAGGAGCTTCAACGCCAAGGCGGCGCCCTGCACGGCCTTGGACGAAGGCCCCCAAGCCAAGCGAGAAGCCCTAAACCCTAAACCCTAAACCCTAAACCCGAAACCCTAAACCCTAGAGGACAAATTCAGGAAGGGTTCCCAGGTACTTGGATGAGCAACGCAGGGGCACAAAACGTTAACCGTTGGGTGCCAACCACTTCCTGCACTGCGGACATTATGGTCTTCCCTTCTCCGGCTTTGTCGATGCCTGCGGGAAAAGGAAATCAGATAAAGGCCTCCCTAAATCCTCAACCTTCAACCCCAAACCCTAAACTAGGATGTTTTTCTTTGGCGGGGGTGTAGGGGGGGTGGCTTCGGCCACAGGACGGCGGGAGTCCCAAAAAAAGGCGACTTCGACATCCGAATGGAAAACGCCCACCATCTGTTCTTGACGTTTCCATGTTTTTTATACAATGGTTAGCTAAATATAGCGAGAGTGATCCTACTTAAAACCAGATCTTCACGAAACCCGACACCCTCAGCAGATGAACCTTCTTGAAGAATTGTCCCAAGCCACCGTGCTCACCGAGGACCCCTAGTACATCCCTGGTGGGTCGGTAGTCTCAAACAACATGCAGCTACGGACAGAAGGCAGCACACCCTGAACTCACGGCTTCCTGACACGAACGTTCACACGCATGTTCCCCGTAGGCTCACCCCTAAAGGTTCCCTAATTCGATTGTCCTTTGAAAGGGTATGGGTCTTGGGGTATCTTGAACGCCCGAGACCCTAAACTCTTGGAGAAAGAAGCCCTGACGAAAACGAGCAGCCCACAGAAAACCTGGTTCTCCTGCAACGCACACAGCGCTGAACCACATCCCCTATCCTATGCTCCCCTCAGAACCTTGATACATAAAAATAATTCGCAAGGGGGATATAGTATCAGGGTGTATGGGTTGAAGGTGTACAAGCCTGAGCCCCCAAGCTTCCCTAAGCCCCGAAACGCCCCAAACACTCACCCCGAAACCCTGCAAGCAGCCACCAAAGGCCCTAAACCCCAAAGGCCCTAAACCCCAAACCCCAAACCCCAAACCCCAAACCCCAAACCCCAAACCCTAAACCCTAAACCCTAAACCCTAAACCCTAAACCCTAAAACCCTAAAACCCCAAAACCCTAAACCCTATGAGAGGCATCCCTGGGATCCCCGGCCCCTCGGACCACCTCGTCGTCGTCTTGAAACTCAGGGAGGCAATACCTCAGCGCCTCCGGCCGATGAACAGCGACAAGAACATGTCGAGGGGTTTTAACCTCTGGGGCTTTCTCTAAACCCTTAAAAGTCTAGGGTCTCCCTAAACCCTAAACCCTAAACCCTAAACCCTAAACCCTAAACCCTAAACCCTATACTCTTACACCCCTACTTCGGGGGCTTCATGGAGGGTTTTAGGTTTGAGGGCTTCAAGGAGGGGTTTATCTGGGATTCTACCTTACAGTTCAGCGGCAACGACCCCTCAATTAGTGAGGAGAACTACGGTAGAACCCATAACGCTGTAGGTAAAGAAGGTCCCAGGTAAGGTTTGGGAATTCAGGGTTCAAGGCTGACGGCCTTGCGAACCAAAACACAACTGCGACGAAGGGTAAAGACTAAAGGGTTTAGGGCTTAGGGCGGCTTAGGGCTTAGGGCTTAGGGTTTAGGGTTTGGGGTTTGGGGTTTAGGGCTTAGCGCGTAGGGTGACTAAACCGAATAAACCCTAAGAAACCCAGAAACCTACACCTACCGAAACCCAGCGACAAGGAACTCCGTCCGCCTGCGGCTCCTGACGCACCGCCTCGATCACCCGAAAGCGATCCTTGCTCTGGGCTTTGGAGCCGATTTGCCTACAGTTCAGTAGTCAATACCCCTTACTTAGTAGGTACAGTATACCCCTTAAAACTGTAGGCAAATAGGGTCCCAAGTAGGGCCCTAGACAGCTTCTTGCTTTTGTGGTTTTGTGGGTGGATGGGCTTCAGGTCGTTTGGGGACAAGCCAGTTGGGTTGTTTTGGTGATTTCTTGTTGGCATCTGCATCTGCCAACTTGGTGAGAACGCCGAACAGCAGATGCACAGAGGTCTCAACCCATGCCCCGCCACGAGAAACTTGAGTTCCCAAAAGCGTCACTATTGAAACGTGCTCGGCTCGGGGTTCTCTTCAAGCACGCGAGCCGCCACATCCAACGTCCGGAAGCTTTGCAAGACATGCCCCAGCGGCTGCCACTGCGGGGTAAGCCAGCGTCGCAGACGGCAGCGCCGCAGCGCGCAAGAAGCTCTGAGATCTACGTGAAGAGCAAGCGTTTTGGGTGCGTCTTCTGTGCCATGGAAGTGTCGCTCGAGCACGAAATTGCCAGTGGTGGCCAAGGCAGAACGTAAGAGGGGGGGGCGAGTCTGCAGCCGGTCGAAATACCTGGTGAGCACTTCCACAAACAGTGTCCGCGGAAGTGGGAAGAGCAACCACACTCACGGCGGGCCAGAGCCGAAAGTTGACAGCAAACTGCACTCCTCTGCAGCGCAAGGAGCATGACACAAGAGGCACGGGCAGCTCGTGGGAGCACACAAACAATCCAGGGAAGTTGGCCCAGGACAGCCGATCCAGGGAAAGTGGCCAACGATCAGCCTCCCAAACGAGATTGCCCTGCCGCACTGGCGCCCCGCAAGCGCGAGGTGTGCGCCGCAAACTGGCTGAAGAGGGCCGAATCCAGGCATTTTGCACGCAGCGCGAAGACGGGAGAGCGCCACATCCTCGTGAGGGGCCGCGGTGGGTGGCAGATTCATCCAATCCTGTTGTCTCAGTTTTCATTGGCTTTTTTGACTTCTGTAACCCACTTTGACATAATCTTACTAACTGCGCGCTCAAAATCAAGATTTTGACTGGTGTGACGCCCCAAGACATCCAAGCGAGCCAAACCGAAGCCAATCCACACATGGCACCTGGTGCCCGAAACCCAGCAAATTGTCTCTGCAAAGGCTCCTTCCGATGCTCCATGGGCCAGGACTCCATAGCCTCACGGAGGTCCCCCACGCGCACCGAAGGCTAACCTGAAGCCCTAAGCCCTAGAATCTAGGTTTAGGCTTCAGGGTTTCGGGTCTCAGCCCAGGTCCCAACAACCACATGTCCCTGGCCCTCTAGACGCTTGGAAGAGTACAATCCCCTTCGACCCAAGAGGCCGAAACGCAACATATCCCAAGGGCCTGCCTGGTATTCCAAGCTCCTATCGGAAACCCTAAACCCTATAAACCCTAGACCCTAGACCCTAAACGCTAAAACCCGAAACCCTAAACGCTAAACCCTAGACACTTAGGGGTTTAAGTGTTCAGGGCTTGGGGATCCTCCCCTTGGGGCCTGAGGGCTTGAGGCTTGGGGTTTAGGAATCGGGGGTTAGCTCAGGAATTTGGGTTTAATTAGGGCTCAAGGTTTCGCAGTTTAAGGATTTTAGGGCTCAGGAGACTTAGGTTTAGGGTTTAGGGTGTTCAGGGTTTAGGGTTTAGAGTTAGGGTTTAGGGTTTACACACAACCACAATGGACAGCAAAGGGGTAAATGCGCCAATAGAGGGTATAGGGTTTGTGCAAAATCCAAACCAGATAGAGGTTGGCAGGGCCAACGAAACAGACGCCAAAACACCGAGCCCAGACCTTTGAACCCCCCCAGGCAGCCGGAACAACAACAAGCTATCGAAACCCTAAACGGCGGATCCAGAGTATGGGCTCCCTTAATTGGGTCCCTTGCGAGATAAACCTTATATACACTATATATATATATATATAACAAGGACTCATTCTTCGGATCCCTATAAACAAGCCTTAAGGGACATAGTTAGGGCCCATGGTTCCAACCGTAGACCGAAATTTCGGAGCCGACCTGCCTGGGCCCGCCGGAAGGCTGTGCTACCACGGTGCACACTGCGAACAGGGCTGCTGGAAGCTCTTCTTTTTTTTGCCAGGTTAGAAGTTTGTGGGATTCGTGAAGGCTACTTTATGACTTTATGTTTGGGACTTAGGGTTCAGAGCTTAAGGTTTAGGGTTCAGGGTGCAACGCTGGGTTTAAACTTGGTGCTTCTGCTGCAAGCCCCTAAACCCTAAACCCTAAACCCTAAACCCTAAACCCTAAACCCTAAACCCTGAACCCTGAACCCTGAACCCTGAACCCTGAACCCTGAACCCTGAACCCTGAACACTGAACCCTGAACCCTGAAGCCTGAACCCTGAACCCTGAACCTGAACCCTGAACCCTGAACCCTGAACCCTGAACCCTGAACCCTGAACCCTGAACCCTGAACCCTGAACCTGAACCCTGAACCCTGAACCCTGAACCCTGAACCCTAAACCCTAAACTCTAAACCCTAGACCCTGAACCCTGAACCCTGAACCCTGAACCCTGAACCCTAAACCCTGAACCCTGAACCCTGAACCCGAAGCCCTGAAAAGCCCCAAAACAAGGGCTTGTTGGAGGCTGCTGAGCTGGAGGCTGTCCCTCTGGGCAGCTTGCTGAGATCATTGAAGAGTGCACTCTTGTCTAGTAGTTTGCAGAATGCAAATACACACCGAAGTACATACATGAATGTAAATCGGTCGTTCTCTCTGTCTCCTCTCTCTCGCTCTCTCTCGCTCTCTCTCTCTCTCTCTCTCTCTCTCTCTCTCTCTCTATGCATACACACACACTTTCTTTTGTGTTGTGCGGTGTTATGGTCTACTACATTTCACATGAATGCGTAGCAAAATATGACATGCTTGACCCGATATGCTCGTTATACTAATATGCATTCCTGCACTTTCCCAGTTGTCCACCATTTGGGGTGAATGTTCCTTTGACTATCATATCTTAAATATGTAATTGCTGAATTTTAAGCTGGGATCCAAGACCCGATAATTACTTGAGATTCCACGTTTCCCGGGAAAAGCTGAAGATCCAAATCCCAGTACTGAACTTCAATGCCTTGGCTGGATCCAAGATTTCGGGCTTCCAGCTTCTCCCGAAACCTTGAATCGTGAATCCTGGATCCAACCAATTGCAAGTCTCCAAGTATTGAAGTTCAACTTTTGGCCGGTTCCAAGGTTTAAGATTTTCAGGTATCCCGCGAATCTTGAATCTTGAACCTTGGGTTTGAAATTCATTCGCCCTGCAATCTTGAACCTTAATTCCGGCCAAAATGTTGAAGTTCAATATTCGCTTTTGCATGCTTCTTTACTCTCCTAGATCGAATTCAGAAACGCTTCCCCCACAGGATCTGCGTTTTGATGTCAGGAGCTTTCTTGGCTGTACGTGGCGTTTCGGTCCGAGCTTGGAGCGTGACAAAAGCGAAACATGTTCTTCGCTAGGTGTCAAGATGTTCGGCTCTCTTAATTCGCTCTGTATTCAACTTGCTGCTGGAGTATGGTTGAATTGGAATAGCAGAGCCCGGCCGAGTTTCGGAAGCTCCGCCTAGCCATTGAACCACAACACCTTTCGTTCCCCCCATTCTTCCCCCCCCATTCTTCCCTCCCCCCCCCCCCTAGGAATTCCTGGCTGAATTGCCAGCTGCAGCCAGTAAGCAACTAAGCCAATTGGCTGCAGCGGCCACTTTTGGGACCCCCAAAGACCTCCCCCCCAAACGCACACTGAGATCCCTCGGACATTCCCTTGACTTCCTTGGGATGCTCAAATTTTTAAAAACAACGACTTAGCTATTGAAATCACTCCACTCTGGTAGGAATTCTCAACTGCATCAGGTCCCACTGCCCCACACTGTCCCAGAACTGTGCCACGCATCTATAGGACGGGCCTTGCAGGCTCGTCGACGTCCATGTGATGCATCACCTGCACTTCCTAAACTCACGTCGCAATCAAGAAACCCGTTCGCATGCATGAAGACTATGTAATTATAACTCAAAACTCTCCCAACCCCTGAAACCCTAAAATCCTAAACTCAACCCCCGCGCACTAGCGGGAGCGGGTGTGGGGGGGGAGCGGCGGTGGGGGGGGGGGGGGGCAACCCGTTCTCCTAATCAATGCAGGGGGGCAACCCTACACCCTACTATCCTAATACTCGCATACCCTCATGTCCTCATACCTTCATACCCAATACCCCTAAACCCTAGGGGGGGCGGGGGGGAGGGAGGGCTAATCAAACGCCCAAACCCGGACCCCCTCAGCCCCAAACCGTATACAACCCCCCCCCCCCCCCCAGGAACCAACCTGTGCCCGAAGGAACCGAAAACCGCGATTTATCCCCAAAACGATACTCCCTAAACCCTCAAAACCTGCAACCCCTAAGAAACCTGCAACCCCTAAGAATGCAACCCCCTAAGACCCAAAGAAGCCAAGTGGCCAGTGCTCGCAATCGGAGAGGCGCCCCCGCCGCCCGACGCCGCAGCTCGCGGACAGTCAGGGCATCCTCTTAGCTTGATTCTCAGGTCCCCGCATGGGGGGGGGGAACAGCAGACCTGAAGTGTAGGTCATTTGCCCCTTATGTGGTTTAGGGTTTAGGGTTTAGGGTTTAGGGTTTAGGGTTTAGGGTTTAGGGTTTAGGGTTTAGGGTTTAGGGTTAGGGTTCAGGGTTTAGGCTTCAGGGTTTAGGGTTGAGGGTTTAGGGTTTAGGGTTTAGAAAGGCAATCTGATGCAGGCTTTTGGGGTTCCTAGGGCTTCCAAGGCCTGAGGTTTCTGGCGGTGACAGGAGCCCTGAGCATGAAGTCCCGCAAGAGCGGCCTGCAAGGTGTATCCATGAGGATGCTTGCCCTCTAAATTCTGAACCCCTGAACCCCTGAACCCTGAACCCCTGAACACTAAACCCTGAACCCTAAACCCTAGACCCAGAACCCTAAACCCTACAGCCTAACCCTCAACCCTAGACCCAGAAACCTAAACCTAACTCCTACAGCGTAACCCTAACCCTAAACCCAGAACCCTAAACCCTACAGCCTCACCCTAAACCCTAAACCCTAAACCGCAACCGCCTCCCCCTCCCGCCCCCTCTGCAGAAGCTCCTGAAGCGGCAGGCGGTCCTCTGACACTGTGGGTTTCATCGAGTTCTGCTATCTTGTAGAGTGTGAGCATGCACCCACCATGGGTTAGGTTGCCCCCCTAAACCCTAAACCCAAAACCCAAAACCCTAAACCCATTGATTTAGGTTCATTAGGGTTGGGTTGCCCAGTCACCGAAGAAGTGAGCAAAAGTGGTGTGTTGTCTTTCAAGGGATGGAAACCTGGAGGCCTGCACCCCAAAGCGTAAGGAGAAATCAGGGGTCGAAACCCTAACACATATGAGTTTGACGGCTTCAAGGGTGTAGGAACTGGTGGGGGCCAGGAGCATGCACCTCCTCCATCCCCTTTGACTCTTGACGCGGCGACTTGCGTGAAAATTTATTGAGACTGGTGGCTGATCCACCTAGGGTTTAGGGTTTCGGGTTTAGAGTTTAGGGTTTAGAGTTTAAGGTTTAGAATTTAGAGTTTACATTTTAGAGTTTAGGGTTTAGATTTTCGGGTTTCGAGTTTAGGGTTTAGAGTTTCAGGCTTAGAGCTTAGGGTTTCGGGATGCACTGTGGTGACACGAAGGGGCATGACAGCACGTGGCGGGCATGAAGATGCCTCAAACATATACCTGCAGGCCATCGCTGGAATTCAAGTAGCCAACGAGCGCTGCCAGGACGCGTTTGTCAGACAGGATGCCGAAATGCGAGCAATTCGGGAAGATCTGGGTTTCGACCGACGGCGACTGTGGCCAAACATCTTCCACTTGCTTTAAGGAGAGCAAGTTGACCAAGCCGTCCCCATCTCCATACACTGTTTTCCTAGTTCATGGTTAGGAGAATATTAAAACTTGACATGTTTATCCCGTATTGGGTTTAAGTACCCTTAAGGGTGTAAAATGTTACCCAACTACGACAAAGTTTCGTGGGGGCTTTGTCAAAACCCACGGTAAGGTCTGTGTCGAAGACGAAGCTGTCTGCGGTTTTGACGCCAGTGGAATACCAGTTCTGCATCGGCACATTCTTGGGCGGATGCTGTACCTGGACCGGGGTTAAAAGAGCCCTACCTAGGTTTCCCAGATTACCAGGTTTTGCTTTGAGGGAGTTGCAAAAGGGAACCCAAGCCCCCCCTTCCCCGAAACACACAAGAGAGAAGCAACCCAGGAGGCAAAGCAATTCTTCGGAATTCTTGCAGCCAGCGTACCTCCACCCAGGGGCCCTGCAACTTGGGGAAAAGCGATGCAGTTTGATTCCCTCCAGATTGAGGGCCGATGTGGCGCAGCATCTCGGGAAGATCACTGGCAGTGTAGTTGCGCGAGGGGGTGACGACCAAGGTTCTGTCGCCGTAGGCTTTGGGGTGTGGTGCGATCCACACGCCGCCTCAGAATGCGGAAGTAGCCCGGCCGTGTCTCGGCCGTGCTTTCGGTGGTTAAAGTTGAGAGTATGTACTGGTCTGGTAAGCAATGGCTTGATGAGTCAGCATATCATGGGGATTAGGGACTTACAATATAGCCCTTTTTGAGAGTGATACAGGGGGGCATCAGGACTCACATCCTTGATAAGAGCCACTAAGAAGAAATAAATCTCTCATCCCTCAACAGCCTAAATCCTAAATCCCAAGCCCTAGACCCTAAACCCCTAGACCCTCTCCGGAGAACTTCATTTCGCGAAACCTAAGCCTAAACCCAAAAACCACTAAACTTCCCTAAAGTCACTATTCGCAAAAGCCTTGCCTAAATCCCCAAAACTGTGCAAACAACGGTGCTTTTGTTGGCTTCGGGCTATTTTTCCTACCCTCGGTGTGGGGTTGCTAGATTTTATGATAAACTCTTCTCCTCGCCCGGTCTACTCCTCGGCCATCACCCGTATCCCACCCCAGAGTATCCCCAAACAATCCCTGGAGTGCCCCACCCCAGATTATCCCAGAGACATGCCGCAGTCCCCAGCAGTGCCCAACCCCAGAGTATCGTATCGCCAAACTTCACAGGGGGGCTTTCGGCATTAAAACCCTAAACCCAAAACCCAAAACCCTAAACCCTAAACCCTAAACCCTAAACCCTGCTGAACTGAAATCCGCGGGCTGCTAGCATTGACCTGGACCCGCTTCACGTAGTCATGCGGGACCAACCTCGGCTTCCCAGTCTTAGGGTTCAGGGTCTAGTTTAGGGTTTAGGGTTTAGGGTTTAGGGTTTAGGGTTTAGGGTTTAGGGTTTAGGGTTTAGGGTTTAGGGTTTAGGGTTTAGGGTTTAGGGTTTAGGGTTTAGGGTTTAGGGTTTAGGGTTTAGGGTTTAGGGTTTAGGCTTCAGGGTCTAGGATTTAGGCTGAGAATGTTGGGTGTAGAGTTCAGGGTGTAGGGAAACAACCTGGGTCGCCGTTGAGCTTGACATAGGCAACCACAGCAGGAGAATTCTTCGCGACAAAGCCCTATTAAATAGAGGTTCCCTACCGGCAACGCTGGGGCCCTCAAAAAGCCGCACAAGCCGGAAAGACTAAACGCCCCAAAGCACTACATACTAAAACCCCATAAGCCCTAAACCCTAAAATCTACAACCCAGAAGCCCGAAACAACCACATTCCCCTCAGCCCTACACCCGAAACCCCAGATGCCCAAAAACCTTAGATCCCCTTAACCCTGGTTGATGTCCCAGCTAAACCCTAAAACCTAAACCCTCTCTGCCATACATTTTTTACCTGAACTGAACTTCAGAATTTGGCCGCTTTATTTTCAGAATTTGGCCGCTTTAAATTTCGAATTTGGCCAGCATCAGGCTAAAGGCCAATTAAATTTCAGAATTTGGCCGCTTTATTTTCAGAATTTGGCCGCTTGATTTTCAGAATTTGGCCGCTTTGTTTTCAGAATTTGGCCGCTTCATTATCAGACTTTGGCCGCATTTTGCTTTCTCAATGTTATGGGATTCTCTGGGTGGGTGGGTATTATATTAGAGCCGTAAATAAAGCTTTACCATAAAACTGCTCGACCCTAAACCCTAAACCCTAAACCCTAAACCCTAAACCCTAAACCCTAAACCCTAAACCCTAAACCCTTGAGGTCCCAGCTGCCAGCTGGGCAAGCCCAAGTTCCAACCACCAAGGTACGCGCTGACTTGAACGATTCCACCCATCCTGGGCTAGGGTTTAGGGTTTAGGGTTTAGGGTTTAGGGTTTAGGGTTGAGGGTTGAGGGTTGAGGGTTGAGGGTTGAGGGTTGAGGGTTGAGGGTTGAGGGTTGAGGGTTGAAGGTTGAAGGTTGAAGGGTTGAGGGCTGTACATAAAGAAAAGGGTTCAGTTCGCTTGGTCTAAGGGGCCCTAAACCCTAAACCCTAAACCCTAAACCCTAAACCCTAAACCCTAAACCCTAAACCCTAAACCCTAAACCCTAAACCCTAAACCCTAAATCCTGAATAAGCTTACCACTGGCATCCTGGCATCCAGGGGCCGGACAGCGCCACCCAACCATGAATGTGTTTGGCCCGCCAAGCCTCACCTGTTGGGGTTTAGGGTTTAGGGTTTAGGGTTTAGGGTTTAGGGTTTAGGGTTTAGGGTTTAGGGATGTTCCCGCTTATACCAACAGTCCTGAATAGGGATTATGTGTACCCCCCCCCATTATCAGCCCTATTAAGGACTGTTGGTATAAGGGGGAACATCCCAACTCAGCTGGAAAGAAAAGGTGGAGTTGAGACTTGGGGGTTTTGGAGTTCAGGGTTTTAGGATAGAAGCGCTAGGTCTGTGAGCTCTTAACCCGTGAAGGAGCTGCAATTGAGTTACAAACATTCATAGGGGAGTATCTTCACGAAGATTCATTAAGGTGACAACGGAGGGTCCTTAGCAGGAACCCAGTCACTGACGTACTTGTGGAAGAAGTACAGCATAGTAGGACATCCTGCAGGTGCCAGGTTGGTTGGTTGGCCAGGCTTCCCGGCCCCAACTAGTGCCACCCCAGGCTACCCTACCCCTGCCCCCCCCCCCCCCCCCCCCCCCCCCCCCCCTCCCAAACCCTAAGCCCTAAACCGCTCCTAGCGAATGTGAAAGAACAACTGCTCGTTCACCACTTGCCTCTGCCAAAGAAGATCAAGCAAGGGACTGACACAAGCAACATCGTCACAAGTTCTATCCCATTGTGTAAGGATCTCTTCTGCAGATCTTGATGGTCCGCGCCATCGTGTGGGGGCAGGGGTATGCCATGAACCATACAACACAAGTTCCGGCGAAACTGACACTGGGTTCAACGAGTATTTAGGAAAGATAACAGGCAACCGCTTTTGGGCCAAAGTGGATTACGCAAATAGGGAACCCTAGCCACCAAAAAAGGTACCAAAACACTCGTCCTGCGGGTTTAGAGTTAAGGGTTTCGGGGAACGAAGAATGCATAAAGACAGAGGAGAAACAGCTGTCTTCGCTCCCCATCATGCGGTCAGTGCCCATTCTTGACACCCCGAAACATGCGAGGATGTCATCACAGGGACCACCAACAGCGGGCGGGTTTTTTGGGAGAGCGAACTGTGCATCGATCGAGTCTGTAGCATTCGACGTGCTTAATTCATGTGCAAAGGCATTTGCGTGCGAGCGTTCTGCTTGCCTTACGCCATCCGTAACTGACGTTCGCGATACAGACTGCTTTGCCACGTGGCGTGCAAAACCAATTCTCGCAAAACATTTCTCAACTTTATACAGCAAGAAGGAAATTTTTCGGTTTCAGAGTTTGCAACCGAAGTACAGGGAAACCCTAAGCCCAAAGGCAATGGGCACCACGACTTTGCGTCCTGACGGTCCTAGATACCCAACATCAGCTTAGACCCGCCCACCTGGACGGCATTCTCGATGAGCTCCTGTAGCTGCTGGTAGTATCCCCCTACACCATTGGCCGGGTTCGCATGCGCGTCGCCCGCCAATCGCCAGTCGTAAGGAGCCAGGAACACATCCGTCCCAAGTTCGTACCTCTACACATCGACCATGACATTTGCCAGTAGTGAGTCCGTGCTGCTCTGACAATCAAAAGGTAAGCTCCACACCCCAGCTCCCCATGCAGATGCTGCAGCATCTTGTCAAACTGGTAGCTGTATAGGATGTCCTGCACATGTTCACGGTTCCTGCTGCTACGGTAGCCGCCTTCTGGCATCAATCATGATCAAAGAGGAGCCTAACACAGTAGCAACATTGTCCCCTCACGGCCGCGATGCAAGACGAACTTCAACTACCCTAATTGCAGCCATTCTAGCAGCACACATCCATGGCACAGAGATGCAGGATGAAGCTATGGCTCAACGAGGCTTTCCGAAAGAATGCTTGTGGGAAGTCCTTGTGGGATCTGCCCGGCTCTGTGCCATTTCCCCAGCCAAGCACTCGTAGCTTGATCCCCGGCAAGTTCCTGAGCCACTGACACTCTAGCCCTAAACCCTAAACCCTAAACCTAGACCCTAATAGCGAGCCACTGAGACCAATCGCGCACATGAAATCCACTAATACAACTGCGCGTCGAGTAGGTTTCCCGGACTGCGTCGTAGGTCAAGCTGAGGCGAGCAACCAAGCAATCGATTTCAACGGGCAGCGCTTGCACCTCGCAGCTCGGGTTTAGGTGTAGACTTGTGCTGTAATCCACAGGACGCAATTCAGTCTTCTTTCGGGCCAAAGCAAGCGCAGCAACCCCATGAGACCGTGGCATGAGAAAAAGGGGTGCACGAAGTGAAGTCGTCCGAGAGCCCGAGGGGCCGGAAAGTAGCCCTTAAGCCACATGTCAGGCGAAACACAGCGAAGCATCAAGAAAGCGAGCTAGGGGGACCGAAGAAAGCCGTTAAGAAAGAGGGTTGGGGGGCGGGGGGGTGCACGCGGGGGGGGGGGGGGGGTAGTGGGGCGCAGCAGGATGCCTCTTGCTCGGCTTCGCTTTCGGCCACTGCGTCCCCTGCCCTCCAAAAACTGGCCTTTTTGCCCCATCAACCCGTATTCGCGTTTTTCCTACTCTTGCTTCGCCTTGTAACCCTCCCCTAAGGAGCCAGCCTCGCTGTCGCATAGGATCGTATTGCCTCGTTTTCGATGCATTGTCAGTATGTGAGGCAAGCCTGCCTGCTTCCGGCCTCACCCCCTTGCCATGGTACTCACCCCCTTGCCATGGTAATCTTTGTCCTCATTTGCCCCCTTACCTACGCCCTTCCCAATAGCCTACAGCATGCGATCCTGTCAGCAGAAACAGCTTCCCACTTCCTGCAGAATGCATCCCTTCCATGAGGACCTGGACTTGGCCACATCTGAACGCGCAAGCGCATCCTTTGCATGAGGCTTGGGAAGCATCATAGTCATCTCTCCAAGTGCAGAAGCTTTCTTGATCATATTTTCACCCACTCTCTCCCCCCCCAACCCTGCAATCCATCCCCTACCTCCGAAGAGCTAACCTTGCCGCCCCATCGCCTGGTATTGCTTCCACTTTTTCAAGCCCTAGACCCTGAGCACTACGTCCTGTATGCTGCATGGAACGTGCGGCGGCAGGCCCGACCGAGGCAGGTCGTGTAGCATTAACATTAGTCATACTAGCATGTACATGTATAGACATATATATATATAGAGAGAGAGAGAAAGACTACTGTATGTCTGTATGTAGGTCATAGTGACAATAATCATGTTTTGCGATATACCTAGCTCAAACAGCAACCCAACCTTGGAGGAGCAGGGGAGTTGCGAAAACCTTTGTACAAGTACGAGTGGGGGGGGGGGGCGTGTTGAAGCTGCAGTCTCCTGATGCTTTAGGGTCCAGGGCTTAGGAATTGGGAATGATGTGAATTTTTGTAAACCAAAAACGCGAGAGAATGCCAAACATCATGAGTTGCTATGTTGTGCTTCTAGTCGAAGGTGACAGACTCCTTGAGGCCACGACAAACCCTCCAACGACAAGAATACAAAAAAGGGAACACAGACTGCAGCCCCGGCGCTGGGCTCACCCAGACTTGCATCCAGTCAACTCCGGTGTTGCGCTTGCACCACATGTGAGGCATGACAGCTTCATGCTCCTGGACTTGCAGCGGGCTTCCAGTTAACCCGGGGACTAGGATCAGTGGACGGTTCGACGCGGCATCCGCTTCTCGCGCGCAGAGGCCCAGCAGCCATGGCAAAAAGAACTTCATGATTCTAACGGACTGTCGCGTCAGAGCTTGGGCCTCGGGCAGGAACAAAATTGCAGCAATCGTAGGGCCTCGTAGGGGTTCAAAAACCGCACGGTCAAAGGACCACTGGCAAAGAACACGAGCTGAGCTCTTCCTCGTCGCGGTCCAGGAACAGTCGCAGCATGGCGGACGACCTCGGAGCCGTAAGCGCCAGGGTAGAAGCAGGGCTTCTTTGGGACAACTGATCTCAGCTTCGATGTTTCCCTTGCTTCGGCCAGGCCAGCTATAGCAACTAAGGGCACAGGTTTCACTGGTGTGGGGATGGTGCTGTTCTGCTGGGTGTTGCGCACAAGAAGTAGGACTTTGGCTGACCGTGCGAGCGGTCCCCACCCTGTGCCACTGCTCTGGCAAGTTCATCTCAAACGAAACATACGTGAGGGTTTGCGAAAATAGGGGACCCCTAATATAGACCCCAAATAGTAGGATTCCTTAAACAAAAAGGACCCCAATAAGTTACCACCCCCCCCCCCCTAATTTCGGAAACCCCCACATCAGCAAATCAGCCAACGAGCCCCCGGTTCGGAGTGCAAGCGCCGGCCCAACTGGCTAACCACCTTTGGGAGCTCCTCTCTGCCAGTGACAACAATCCCCAACGAACACACCCCCCAAGATGTCCCAGCCTGCTCCAGTTCGAGTTCCACCCGCCTGGAAGTTCTAGCCTCGAACCCTGTGCACCTGATCCTGTTTCCTCAAGCCCAAACCCTGCGACCCGAAACTCACACCTGAAACCCCAAGGAATAAACTCACGGCCCTCAGCCCTCTGGCAAATCCCTCGAGCTCAAAGACTGCGTTCTCCAGAAACCTGAAAGAAAGGGATCTTAGCCAAAAAGGATAAGGGGAGAAGGGTAGTACTGGGCGTTCCAGTAGAAATGAACCCCGCACCTTGGCCTGCAAAAGCCTGCAGCCTAACCCCTGCACCCTCAATCCCCGAAAGTCCCAAAAGCCCTAAAGCCTCAAAACCTGGCACTTAAACCCCCCTGAACCCACCCTAAACCCAAAGCTCGAAACTTAACGCTTCCACCCTCAACCCTCAACCCTCAACCCTCAACCCTCAACCCTCAACCCTCAACCCTCAACCCCCCTGTACCCAAAGCTCGGAGACCTGTTGGAGCCGTGCGACTGAATGCCTTTCGCCTGGCAGAGGGCATTCCTCGGCAGACGTCAACTTCGGAGGCTCATGGTTCAGGGTTCAGGGTTCAGGGTTTAGGGTTTAGGGTTTAGGGTTCAGGGTTCAGGGTTCAGGGTTCAGGGTTTAGGGTTTAGGGTTTAGGGTTTAGGGTTTAGGGTTTAGGGTTTAGGGTTTAGGGTTTAGGGTTTAGGGCTTCGGGCTATTCGAGCTATTCGAGCTAATCGAGCTTAGGGAAACTCAGCTGCTCACTTGATATCCACGATGGATGGCAGCTCGGAGACCTCGTCCTCCTGGCAAAGCGCTCAACCCTGTAATCCAAAAGCCCCAAGCGCCCTGAACCTGCCAAACTTCTAAACCCCACGAACTACAAACCCTAAACCCCTAACCCCTAACCCCTAACCCCTAAACCCTAAACCCTAAACCCTAAACCCTAAACCCTAAACCCTAAACCCTAAACCCTAAACCCTAAACCCTCCCTGGAGCTTCAATTCCTCCTTGGGTGGTTTTTGGGCCGTAGGATGTTCAGGCCGTTCAGGCTTCGGGGCTAGGGTTTAGGGTTTAGAGTTGAGGGCTAGAAATCATTCTGGTAGAGGGTGTCTGAAAAAGCCTACTGCGGGACCGGAGATCCAGAAATGATTCTCTGAGTGCCTACTCTGTCAGGAGGGCATAACGGCATACATTGGCTGTGTTGTGTCAGAGTTGGTATTGAGGGACAACGACTGATAACGTGTGGGAGAAGATATTTTCGTGAGGTTGGAATCGCAGGTCACGTTGGGGCAATTTGTCGTTGGTTCATGTCATTCCTGAATATTCAACCCTGCTAACCCAGCAAAACCTGAATCCTCCCCAAAAGCTTTTTGAAGCAAGTCCAAAAGCCCTCAACACCATGAGGGCCTGAAAGCCTGCAATTCAAACATCGCAAGCGGTGGAAGCAATGGGCTTATAGGGTTTAGGGCGTGGGGTGCTCAACGCCCCCAAAAGTGGCAAAAGTGAGAGTTCGATTCGGAGCTGAGAATGTGGACAGCCTCAAAGAGTGTCAAGGTTCTACCTGAGCCAAGGCCTTCCTGTTGGTTTAGGGTTTAGGGTTTAGGGTCTAGGGTCTAGGGTTTACGGTTTGGGGTTTAGGGTTTAGGGTTTAGGGTTTTCCAAAGTTTAAACTAGTATAACCTTAAAACGAGTCGTAAAGAAACAAGGACACGGCGGTGCTGCCTTAAAGGAGTGGAAGGGCTCGCCGCTAATGGCGCCAACGATCTCGATATCTTCGAAGGCCATTGTAGCTCAAGCTCCCGGAGTTTGAGTTCGGACAATCCCGAGACTTCTGTAGGGTTTAGGGTTTAGGTTACACCTTAAACGTCCAAACTCAAACTAGAACTTCAGGGGGGGTTTCGGGCCATGGCAGAGGTTTGCAGAGATATGTCAATCAACTGCATCTCCGCTCGCGAGGTCTGGAACAAACCGACGATTACCCTAAACCCTAAACCCTAAACCCTAAACCCTAAACCCTAAACCGGGCTGGTGAGACGGAGAGACCAGAGCACTACGCCCTGAGGAGCCTGGAGTCGCAGCTCAACTTGCCAGATCCCCAGACCCTACGAACCCCAAGCCCAATAAACCCCCTTAGGCCCCTAAACCCTAAACCTTAAACCCTAAACCCTAAACCCCAAACCCTAAACCCTAAACCCTATAAGCCCCAAGCTCTTGCGATTTTCCGAGTGCATGCTCAAGAATAGCATGGGGCTTGTGTAAGGCTTGGGGAAACTAAGCCCTATAAACCTTGCATGACTAAACCCTACACCATTTAGGAGTTCGACCCAGAGATTCCCGCAACTTTCCTGTATTCAAGCCCCACACACACACAAGCCGAGAGCCAGACCCTAAACCCTAAACCCTAAACCCTAAACCCTAAACCCTAAACCCTAAACCCTAAACCCTAAACCCTAAACCCTCCGCTTCGGAAACCTTTGGGTCCAAGAGTCGAGACTGAGGGTTGAGGGCCTGGGGTTCAGGATTAATTTTGTAGGGTTTAGGGTGAACCAAGGACAACATACTCTACTACCATTTGCTTAAGAACCCCGAAAGAATAAACAACAATAATCCCTATAAAACCCTGAATAAGGAATAAATATTGATATTTTTTGGGGGGTTCTTAAGCAATAAGTAGTCTACCTGTGATGTGGGCAGCATTAAGGGGCTTGCCCCCCCCAACCCTAAACCCTGAACCCCCCCCGAACTGGCAGCCAGAAGCTCACCGCGAGCCATGAAGCCCTGTTTGTCGCCCGCCGCGTGACTCCGAAAGTCGTGTTGCACTTCTGGCCGGGATTGTGGCCCTAAACCCTAAACCCTAAACCCTAAACCCTAAACCCTAAACCCCAAACCCCAAACCCTAAACCCTAAACCCTAAACCCTAAACCCTAAACCCTAAACCCTAAACTCTAAAGCAGAGCGGCCCCGGCTTGAGGATCCACCTTGCGACTCTTGGCATCTCGGCTTTGTCGATACGAAAGGGCTTGCCCTCAACAGTCTACGGTTTACGTCTTAGGCTCTTGGGATGCTTTGGGTTTAGGGTTTAGGGTTTAGGGTTTAGGGTTTAGGGTTTAGGGTTTAGGGTTTAGGGTTTAGGGTTTAGGGTTTAGGGTTTAGGGTTTAGGGTTTAGGGTTTAGGGTTTAGGGTTTAGGGTTTAGGATTTATGGTTTTACAAGGTACAGGGCACGCTTGAAGGGTTGTAGGAATCTCTCTGTAGCAAGTTCGGCTTCGTGTTTGGCGGTCGGAGAGGAGATTGCCTACTCGGGCGGAGGGGATTATACCTTGCTTTCAAGAGAGTTTCTACTAAGCGCTGTAGCCGCGAGCCGAAAGCTGTGGACCTCCTAGTCTTCAGCGGCCCAAGAAGAGATTCAGCAGCATGGCCTGGGCTATGCAAGCAAGGGCTTCGGGCTTACAGGGCTTTAGGACTTTTGTGGTTTATCTCGAGGCTTCAAAAACTCTAAACCCTCGAGTCCTAGACATCCTAAGCCCTACACCAGCTCCGCGCCCTCCCATGGTCGACTGAAAAAGAGAACGATGTCAAGAAACGTAGGGTTGGGAGGGGGGGGTATTATTGTATGCTTCCAGAGGACCATGAGGGAATACTATGAGTTATGATTCCGACCCCTATGTTATGCCCATGTGAGCCCGGACGTCCAAAAGCACGATGGCTTCGCATTTTGCAGGCCCACGCGTCCAAAGGCACAGTTGCAAGGACCCCGAGTGCGGCCGCCCCCGCTTAGACGAGAGCGCGATGTCCGTCCAAAATGCGAACAAAAGCATTGGGAAAAATGCACAGCAGTGTGTTTAGGGAAGAGAGCCCAGGCTTTAGAACGACACAACGACACCATTTCTGTTTAGTCGGCTTTCGGGTTCAGGGCTGGACCTAGCTACACCCCACAAAGAAGCAAGGGTCATTCATAGGGAGCAAGTGCAGCTCGGGTAGTTTGTAATTTTCTTGTAAATGGGGGGGGGGGGGGGTATATTATAGGCTCCTGTAGTAGCGCTCTCCAAGGCACAACCCACCAAAGCGCCTCTTGAGCCCTCATGCACTCCGCGCATCGGCAAGAAGCCCCGGTTTGAGGAGGAAGGGCTTCGGGTCCAGAGTTTAGGGTTTCATAGTTTTAGGGCCGGCTTAGGGTTTTCATGTGGCCTTGAGGTTGCTATAAAAAAGCAAGGGTG